ACTAAGGAAAATAGAAGGAGGTGGTTTTCTACTCCTTAAAGAGCTTCTAGGCAGGTGTGGTGACCCATGCCTGTAATCCCAGCATGCAGGAGGCTGAGGCACGAGGATCACTGTGAGTTCAAGGCCAGCCTGGGCTATACAGTGAAACCCTGTCTCAAAAAGACAAAAGAAAAAAGAGCTTCTAGTCACGCTAGGGACTCCAAAATGCACCATTAACAAGCTCACTGTCTATGGTCACAACGCTGTTACAGTCTCATGCACAAGTAGGAAACAAGTTGACATGTAAGTCCTCAAACAAAATGAAACAAACAAAAAGCACCATTTCTACCTGAAGCAGCTGCAACATGCATGAGACACCCCCCTCACAGGGGTGGAAAGACCTGGCTTCTGAGTCGGGGCCTGCACAGGGTGGGAAAGTCTGCATCTCTAACCAACTCCCGCGGGTGCTGACAGCCGTCCTCAGCCACACCTGCACAGGCTCCTGCACATGCATCATGTGGCAGCCCCTACACCCAGGTGCCTCCATCACATGAGTCTGCACTGGGGACAGTGATGCCCACTAGGTGATACATTTGAAAATTTCGCTTGCAAAGGTGCTCAGGAATATACCAGAGGAGGCAGGGGAGCACAGGGACAAGACACATTGGCAGGAGGTCTGTCCGGCCCATGTCACCCCAACCAGCTGGCCACAGGAGGGTCCTGGCAGCAGTGTGACCTCACCCTCCTGTCCACAGCTTAGAATAAGGGTGGATCTGGGGTCTGGGGATATATAGCTCAGCGGCACAAGTGCCTGCCTAGCAAGCTCAAGGCCCAGAGTTCGATTCCCAGTACCAAAAAAAAAGAGAATAGGTGTGGAGCCAACTCAGGCAGCCCACCATATGCTTTCTCTCCTGGGGACTTGGAAAGGGTCCTTCAAAGCAGCAGGCATCAGGGCAGGTGCTGGACTTATGGGCACACACAACCAAAGTTGCCAGTCTCCGTGCAGAGATCTATCCGCACCATGTCACACACCAGAAGTGCAGGACCTCAGACTGACCCTGGTGAAGCACACGGACCCCATGTGGAGGAGTGCGGTCCACACACAGCTGGCCTGGACTCTTCAAAAGCATGAGGCTCAGAAAGACAGAAAGCCCAGGAACTGTCTCAGACTGCAGCGGACCAAGGAGGCCGACGCCTGGACCTGAGGCGGAGCCTGGGCCGGAAGAGAGTATGGTGGGGCTGCTGGCACCACCGATTACTGTGCGGTGTCACTGCTAATCCAGGTCTCCCTCGCTGTCCTATGGATCTACGATGTTAACCTGAGCAGAGCGGAGGCTGGTGCAGAGAACACGGGGAACCTCACAGCTCTTTTTGCAACTTTTCAGAAGTCTAAAATTATTTCAAAATAAAAGTTGCTCTTCCTGTTTAGGCAATTGGATCAGGTTGCTGTTCCTCCAAAAAAAAAGCCAAAAAACAACTCCATTCAACAGTTACCTGTAATGTCAAATACCAACGCACACTGCCCACCCTGGGACAGGGACACATTCTCACCCACTGTAGTGTTCACACAGAAACACTTCCAAGGAGGAAGGGCACTGAAAAGACCCCTCCCTCAGAGCCCGAATCTCAGATTCACCTGGAAGCAGGGGATGGGGGGGTTGACAACATAACAGCGGCTCTGTCTCAGGGGACCAGGACACAAGGCTCAAGAGACGATTCTCTCACTTTCCTACGTGTTTGAGCTATTATGAATGAAAGAGCAAAAGAAAACCATGGAGTATAGATTCTCTGCACCCTTGGGGTGTGGTTCCCAGCCCACAGCAGAACTGGAGTTTGTGTTGGTGAGCTCTAAGCTGATCACTCACTCTCCAAGCTTGCAGTGACCTCATCGAGGAGGGGCTATTCTCATTCCCATGTTAGAGATAGGGAAACTAAGGCACATGAGTGGAGGGACTTGCCTGGAAGTGCCCGAGGAGGAGGAAGTGCTTCCAGCCGGACTGCACAGTCTGAGACACTTGCTCCCTGCAAGCACAGATCCTCCCCAGCCTTCTCTCTGCCTCAGGGAGCAGTGGTCAGCACACTTTCATGTGCACGCATGCGTGTGCACACACACGCACACACACAGAGGATGCAGAGAGCCTGCAATGGCCACAGATCCACAGACAGGCGCACAGCTGCCCCGAGGAAGACCCAGGGGCCGGTGAGAGCCCCACACAGACCACACAAACCTTTCACTATGAGTGAAATAAGGAGTTGCCACAAAGTGAGAAATCGGAGCCTGGGAGAGTCACTAAGAGTCTTCCTACCCCACAGGGACAAACTTTCTTTATCTCTCAAGACAGAGGAGGACCCAGGGTTAACGGGCAGCCCAGACTCCTGGTGGCACCCAGGAACTTGCACTGTTCTATGTGCTGGACTTCCGCCTCCAGCTCCCCGAGATGCTCAGGACGAGCGAGCAGAGCTTGTGAAGACGGAGGGCCAGGGAGGGGCGGCAGGCAGGGGAATGGAGGGCAGGGGTAAGACCCCAAATGCCGTGTCTCTGCATGGCTTCCCCGGGCGAGTGTATCTATCGTGATCACAAACACATGAATTAAAAGGGAGGAAGCTTTTTTCAAAGAAAACACACAGGACGAGCCCCACTCTTGCTCATGGAGAGGCGCGAGTCTCGTCGCCCTGGACACCAGCTGGCTGCGGGAGAATGAGACGTGGAGTCACAGCCCAGCGGGACGTGGAGGCATCAAGGCCCAGGTGTCCCAGGAGGCATGTCTCTGTCCTTCAGGACTGCACCCTGTTGTGCCAAGCCTCTCCACTAGAGGGCGCAGGGAAATTGCGGTTCGTCCCACTCTGCAATTAATACGACTTTTCCTGTCCCAGAGATGCAGGCAGCGCTGTGGAGCGAGCCGGGGCTGCCGACCTTTCTCCTCCGTCTGCCACAAGTACCATCCACGGGCTCTTGCTGCATCTGTGTTCAGCTGGCTCGGATGAGGGGGTTCAAATGGGGCAGCCACATCCGGGCTGCTGGACCCCAGCGGTGCCCCAGGAAGTGGCACTTCTGACATTCCCCGGGGTACTGCTGGGGCCAAGATGTCAGCGCGGGAGCCCCTGGCACAGACACGAGGGGCAGGACCTCTCCCCACCTCGATTCCAGTCATGCTGGCCTCTGCCAGATGCCCACACTGAATCCCCGGAGACCTGGAGAACCAGCATATCCTTACAAGCAAGGAGCCGCTGTGCAGGGACAGCGCGGCCGGGATCAGTGTCCCCTGGGAGATGGGAAACGCACATCCCGGCCCCCCCGCCCTGCAACCCCAGTCCCAACCCCCATGTGCGCCCAGCCTCGGCAGAGCTCCCCTGAGAGCTAACTAGGGGGACACTCAGCCGGGACCCACAATATTTCACAGGGCCCAGGGACTCCAGAGGTGACGGCCACGGTGGGTAACCCACTGGCCTCCCAGCGGAAAAGCTGTGCTAAACTAACCCCGCCCAGGAGCAGAAGCAAAGAAAGCAGAGGAGGGCAGGAGGGACGTCAGGACAGACCCTGCAGACTCGGTGCCCCTGCAGGGATGGAGTGGAAGGGCTGGGCTGGGCCTGGCCAAGGAAGCTACAGCCACAGCCACCGCGACAGCCCACAGGCACAGAAGTGGGTGCCACCCACCACCCGACCAGAGCCTGCAGACGTGGCCATGCACGGCAGCCTGCGCCGCCCTCCAGCCCTGAGACACCCACAGAGCCTGCGCGGCGCACAGCTGACAGAGCTGCAGGAGCGCCTCGGTGGGCACTGAGGCGGCAAACCTGGGTCTCAGCGGCCCCTCCGGTGGATTCTGAAAGTGAACATACTGGGCCTCCGTACCCTCAGGATCCTCGTCAGGGCTTCAACCAACCAGAATAAAAAGAAAATTTTCCTTTTAATTGCATTTGTACTGAATATGTACAGACATTTTCTTCTTCCTTTTTTTTTCTTTTTGGTGTTTTGAGACAGCATCTCCATATGTATGTAGTTCAGGCTGGCTTTGACTCACTATGCATCCCAGGCTGGCCTCAAATTTAGGAGACCTTCTTGCCTCAGGCTCCCAAGTGCTGGGATTACAGGTATGCACCATCATGCCCTGCTGTTGTTTCTTATCATTGTTTATTCCCTAAACAATGCAGTAAATCTGTTTACACAGCAACTACTTACACTGTGCTGGGTATTCTAAGTAACCTAGAGGTGATTTCGGGTACATGGGAGGCTGTGCCTGGGTTATGCACAAATACAATGCCATCCATCTTGGGACTCGGTACCCACGCTGGAGCCAAGTCCCCTGACCGCAGAAGCACCGACCGCCCCCAGACGGTTTTCCCCACCCCGCTGCCCCCATCCGCACTTGGCTCTTCTGGCTGGCCATGTGCAGTGCCACCCTCTCTCTCAGCCTGAGCAGCCACAGAGCTGCAGCACCAGCCGGCCACCAGCCTGAGGGCACGGATGCCACGGCGGGCACTGGCTGCTCGGCCCAGGAAGCTCGGGCTTCTGTGGGGCCGGGGCTGCAGCCGCTGTGGCAAGGCACAGCCTGGGCCGCTATCTGGGGAGAGCCTGGCCGGGGCCTGGTGACACTCCCACGCCAGCGGCAGCTGCCCTGGGAAAGCGCAGCCCAGAAGGGAAGGGCGAGGCCCAGCATGGACAGAGGAGGACCCCAGGTGCACCAGCGGGCCCTCACGCGAGTGCCCCTCGCATCCTCAGAATCCACACCCTCCACGCTGCTTCCTAGAGCCGGCAAGCACAGCAGACGGAGAGCGCTAACGGAGAGGGCAGACCGAGAAAGCCGACTTCCGTCCGCCCCAGGACCTCCCATGTCCAGCTGGGCCCCTGTCGTCCTCAGCCTCTAGGGCAGTGGTTTCCAACGTCGTCACCCCCACCACAGAGACACCTCACTCTCACCCTCAGAGGTCCGTGCGGGCGCGGAACAAAGTGCACGTCAGTGTACACGCTTCAAACAAGGGCTTCGCAAACCAGCCCTGCCTTCACGGCCCACGTTTGCGACGCTTCCTGTGGGCGATCAGTGTCTCCTCCCCGTGCCCGGCAGGGCCACTGCACTCACTTCCCGTCAGCACAGGCGGGGCCAGGGGGAGTGCACGGGGCTCAGACCGCCACCGGGCCTGTGCCCACTTCTGCAGCCACGTCCGGCACGTACGGCACATGCACGGCTCACACTACACACACAGCACATGCGCACACACACCTCACACTACACAGAGCACATGCACCTCACACTGCACACATGGCGCACATTCACCTCACACAACTCACAGCACATGCACATACACACCTCACAGTACACACAGCACATGCACACACCCCACATATACATCCTACGTGCACAGCACACACACACACACACACACAACACATACCTCATACACACACCGCACACGGTTCTACATCCAGTCACTCTCCACACACACACACATCCTCTCTCCTCTCCTCCTCTCCTCCTCTCCCCCACCCTCCCTCCCTCAGGACCTCATAGGGAAGCACAGTCACAGTTTTGAGCCATACTTTGGATCCTGACAAGGACGAGCCTCAATTTCTCCAGCTGTGACCTGTTAGTTCAAGGACAGCCCCCTCCCCGGGCCGACAGCTGCCAAGTGGGCAGCAGGACGCTGAGCTCAGGTCCCAGGCACCCACCGGCACTATGGAGGGCACAGGTTGCTGGGAAAGGCACCACCTCAGCTCAGGCTTGGAGGGAGACCGAGTCACGTCTCCCCTACCCTCCCCCCATGAACACACACTGGAGTCTGACCTGGGGCGCGGCCGCAGCCTCGGAGGTGCAGGATCTGATCCCGCACTGCCAGTGAGAGCCACCAGCTGTGCGGTGCACAAGGCCGAATCCGGAAGGAAGGGGGCGCTGAGCCACCATGCCCAGGCCAAGAAGGAAGTCACCAACAAGGGCAGCTGCATCTCCAAGGAGGCTTTGCCCAGTGGGTGGCCCAGGCCTGGAGCCCAACCTCGTGGCACCTCAGCACCTCCAGGGAAGCAAACACTGCCCTGACCACTCTCTCGGGCTCTGGTCACATCCAGAGGAAAAACCAACTGGGAGGAGAGATACCGGAAGCAGGACTAGACCAAGAGGGGTGCAAACCCAGCCCAGCTCTCTATTCCTGACACTTAACCTGGCACAACCAATCCAGCACCACAGAATAGACCTTAAAAGTCAGGCTGTTTGCCTCTAGGGACAACGAGGCCTGCAGTCTTCCATGCTTAGGGCTAAAGGGCCACGCTCTCCCTTCCTCCCAGAAAGGGCAGCTGTGGGCCCAGGAGGCCGGGCCCAGTGTCCTACACAGAACAGGGGAGGGCAGAAGGTGGCCAGGAGCCGCACAGCAGCCTGCTCCCTGGTGTAGAGACCCCTACACACCTGCACACAGCGGCGAAAATGAAGGCGAGTGGCCCTGTCACCCACTCAGGGAGCTGTGAGGAAAGCCTCTTCCACTGAAATACCCGGTGAATAAATAAACCTAGCGGCCGCTGACACTGAGACAGCCTCACCTTTGCAGGTGCCTTTGGCGGGCAGGGGACAGCAGGTAGCTGTTGGGCCATAGTGGCCCCCAACCCTGCCTCCACTTGCCCGGCTGGACTGGGAATGTCCTGCATCCAGGAACCTCGGCGAGAGAAAGCAGGGAGCCCATCACCTGCTTGGTGTGCTGCTTCTGCTGGACACAGGTGTGCTCGGTGGGTGACAATTCAGAGCTGGGCACCTGCATGCCTGTGACCCTCAGTAAAGCATGTGAAGCCTACAGTTCCACGTGGGACACATACCTGGGCCTGCAGCTCCACCCGCTGTGCCTGCAGGTGGGACAGCGCCTCCCGGCCCTCCTCCAGCTGGCTCTGCAGCGAGGCCACCTCCCGCTCCGTCAGGAGCTTCTCCTGCCAAAGAAGGCCATGCTCGGGTCACACAGAGGAAACGCCAGGGCGAGAGGGGCTTGTGACCAATGCATGTCTGTGTCCCTCCAAGTTGGGTGTGGGGAGCTCTGGGCCCAGGGGATGGTATCAGAAGGGAGGGCTTCTGGGGGGTGATGAGGGTCAGCCAAGGTCCTGAAGGGGGGACCCACAGTGGGACTGGATCCCTGTGAAAAGAGGAAGTGACACCCAGCATGTTTGTCCCTAGAGACGCAGATTCAAACCGCGGTCAGATTCACAGCGTCCCTAGCAGAACAGCAAAACACAGCAGTGGGAAGGCTGACACAGCAAGGCGGGTGGGTGGGGATGCAGAGGGACAGGAAGTCCTGTTCACCGCTGGGGCAGGGGCTTGTCTGCCTAGAATAGGTCTGTCCCGCTGGGAACACCCTGGGCTTCTGTCCCTACTTCAGGCATGAGACAATAGGAGCATCCCAGGACAAAGGCGTTTTGCAAAGGGGCCTATGACTAACTCATAGTGGTGGCTTTATGAGAGGACAGATCAAAGGAGGCACATCCATGCCCAGGGCCACCCTGGGGCTCCACCAACAGACATGGCCCTTGGCCTTGGACTCCAGAACCTCGAGCCTAAGTAACCTTCTTCCTGTCTCACTTGCCCCGCCGTGGAAGTGTGTTCTGGCAGCAGACACCGGGCCACAGGAAAGCAGCCTGGGAGTTTCCTGTGGAGCACACAGAGGGATCGGCCGAGAGAAGCCACCTCAGAGGACAGGCAGGAAGTTAACGGCCTCAGATGTCGGAGCAGCGGTGTCACAACACAAGCAAAGAAAGAAGAGGAAAGTCCAGACTTGAAGGGACACAGGCATCTGACCCAGGACGCCCCAACCTCAGCGAGGTCCGGGGATGTGAGGAAAGGGTCCCTCAGACAACCCCAATACTCACCTCCCTCATCCCACGCATGACAGCAGGCGCCTGAGGTGCAGCCTGGAGGATCTGCTGCAGGATGCTGATGTAGGTCTGGATTTCCAGAAGATTCTGAGGGACAGGAAGAGCATTCGTGTGAGTCCAGGAATGGGTCTCTGACACCTTCTCCCTGGACCCCGATCGAGGTGGGGACAGGCTGCCCGTGACCGGTGCTGGCACGTGTCCCCCATGGCGTGGGCACTCCACAGGTCCTTTAACCCGCACGAGGACAGTGAGGCAGATGGGTAAACTGAGGCACAGCTCATTTTGCCGTTTCCCTCTTGCTACCTAGATGCTGGGCTGCTGTCTTCACTGATAAAGCAGGACCACAAGGCCTGGAGGGACAAAGGACACCAGCGCAGGACAGCGTTTCCCAGATGGTAGCCTCGCTCTGTGGAGCCTGGCAAAATGTGTTAGGTCTCAGGCACACCCTGCTATAAAAAAGGGCCACCGTCTGTGGGGTGCCTTTCCCAACCAGGACACCCGCGCCCAGCCGTGAGCAATGACTGATAACACAGCCCCCTGCTTGGCCAGCCTCACCTGGAAGCAACACGGCCACCTTATCCCACACAGCAATGGCAAGACTCCAGGGGTGTGGCACTGGGCTGGGACTTGGGGGGCCAAGGCTGGGCTCCCCCGCCTCCCCTACTCCCTAGCTCTGCATCTAGGGAACAAGCTGAGTCACCATCTCAGAAGTCGGAGGGTTGCAGAGGGAGAGGAAGGTGCTTCTGTGCAGAGCACCACACAGACCTTGACGCAGGCAGACCCCTCTCGAGCTCCCGGTGGCCCTGCAGAGCCACACGACTTACTGCCGTTTCCCCAGGAGCAGACCCTGCAAGGAGGATCTGAGTGCACTTGGGTGATTTGGGAGTGCAGCCAGAAAACATGGCCATTGGGGGCATGGGGAGAGGCAGGGAGGGCAATCAGTGAGGGCATCACCAACCAGCCACCAGTGGGCACCTGGAACTCCATGCCCAGCAGGCAGGGGAGACCAGCAGCCTTAGAGCCACCCCACAGAGGTGAGGGAGCAGGTGCTGACACATGAAGTGACTGAAATAGATGGTGAATGTTTAAACTTTTTAAAGTTTATTACAGTAAAAGACACATTGCCATGAATCCACCTCAAAATCCTCACCCTCACCTCCAACGCACTTATCCCATTGTTTTTGCCACTTTCTGCAGCAGCTCTGGAAGTCTTCTTTCACGAGTGTCTTTACAAGGTGTGATCAAAAATACAGTGAATGCTGCTGCCAGATGTTGTGAAACAGAAAAGCAGGCTCATAAAAGCACAACACCATGTCCTCATCCATCTTATCCACTGGATCTGTCGCCGTGCAACTTCTGGCTCCTTCCCATAATTAAAATGACCGAGAATAGTAAAAATTCTGAAACACCTGAAGACATAGAGGCAGCCACAATAGAGCAACTAACGACATTCATGAAAGAGAACATTGAGAACTGCCTCAGAAAGTACCAAGAATGGGCCAGCTGTGGTGATGCAGTGCCATGATTCTAGCACTCAGGAGGCTGAAGCAGGAAGATCACCACAAGTTTGAGCCAACCTGGTTACGCAGTAAGTTCAAGGCCAGCCTGAACTACATGAGACTCTGTCTCAAACAAACAAAAAGTGACAAGGACAATGGAATAAGTGAGGGGGTGCACTTGGAGGGGGATTCAGGGCAATGTACCTTTCACTGTAATAAATATTTTAAATTTAAACATTCACCACATATTTCCATTACACCTCATATATCATCATTGTCATTTACAAAGTGATTTAGATCTGTCTTAATTAAGCTATAGCATCTACAACAAATCTCTGATATAGACAGCCTATACTATAGTCCAGTGGTGGCAAACCTACAGCACGCATGCCACAGTGGGCTGTTTGTATTGTTGAAAGCTCTAAAAGGTTCGCCATCACTGGTACAGTCCTAAGTCATAATATGAATAGTCAACTTTTTCCAGCCCAGAAAATGCAAAAGCATAGAACATTCAACAACATATACAGTGTCACAGTTCTTCGAATTTTTTCAAGAGCTTCCTCTCCTGTTGTGTGCAGGTCCCCTCCACTCTCCAGCTTTATAGGCCCAACTCTGGGGACCTCAGGGTGCTAGAAAAACCAAATCCTGGAGCCGTGGGAGTGTGGCCCGACCTCTCTAGGCCACTTCTTCATCCTCTAGTGCAACACCAGCCTCCCCTTCCAGGACAGCGATGGGGTTCCTAGGGGCGCAGAGCCAGGGTGCCTCCTCCTTCGCCAAATTTCTGCACCTCTGTGGGCTCCTCCCAACAGCTGGAGCTGCCCTGTCCCATGAGGAGGGACTAGGGACCCTCTGTCCCCGGGAGCAGCCTCAGCAGAGGTGATGGGAGGAAGTGGACCCATAGATACGCGTTCCCCACATCACGACCCCAATGCACCCCACTTACCTACTCCCCTGCGTGCCTGGCTCACCAAGTGTTGCCAGTGACTGGCCTGTCCCCTTGGCCCAGCCCCAGTTTGGCTCAGAGGAAAACATGCCAAAGGTGGCCACTAGTTTCCACCCACGCGTTCCTGGGCTCACAGAGCGAGCTCAACCTGGGGAAGGGCAGTGGGCGTCGCAGTTACCTTCTTGTTCCTGTCCTTGGCCGCACTGATATCATCCTGCAGAAACTGGGCCTCCAGCTGAAGGCGCAGGTTACGCAACAAGGCTTCATCGGCCTCCTGCAAGGAGAAACAATCTCACACTCAGGTTGCAGGCACCGCGGGGCAGCGGGGAGGAGTGCAACGTCAGCCAGGTGCGTGAGCACTCAGACCACCCAGGCACGCAGACTCCTGATCAGTCACAGGTCTGCAAGGGTATCTGCGACTCTTCCTGCAACGAATCGGCTCAGCCATTGAGCCCGGTGTAGAGTAGCAGTTCCAACGAGGGTGACTGTGACCCACGGTGACGTGGCGATATCTGGAGACATTTTTCATTGTCACAGCTTGAATGGTGGGGTGCTTCCCTTCACATCTAGTGGTTATAGCCAGAGAGATAGCTAAATACACACACACACACACACACACACACACACACACACGTGCACACGCACACATACGCCACAAGCCTCAAAGAATACTCTAACCTAAAATGTCTACAGTCCCTGTATTGAAACCTTGATCTAACAACAAGCATGGTGGCTAGTGCACACCTGTAATCCCAGCATTCGGGAGGCTGAGGCATGAGGAGTGCCAGGAGTTTCAGGCCAATCTGGGCTACATAGTGAGTTCAAGATCGACTTGAACTGCATAGCAAGACCTTGTCTCAGAAAAAAAAAAAAAAAAAAAAAGAGGGTCAGGGATATAGCTCAGCGGCACAAGCACCTGCTTGGCAAGTACAAGCTCCTGAGTTCGATTCCCAGTACAGAAAAAAAAAAAAGAAAAAAACTTTGATCTAGAAACATCCAAGAGTTAGGGTGAATCTATAAACCAAGTGACCGCAGCATTTAAGTAACATCTATATTTGTTCCATATCTTGCCATCAGTCACTTGAGTTTCTAAGGCTACTCAGAAAAACATTTCCCTTCATACTAAAATCCTGTATTTTAATAGTTTTCTCCCAATAACTGACAACATTCACCTTGAGACAGAACTTTAAGACAAAATGCGTTTTTTAGACTGAGTGCTGTCACAAAGAGAGTTCATTCCTTTGAACCTGGGAATGCCACTCATCACAGAAGGGTGAATATTCTTACCACATTTTCTGACGGTTCAGACTTTCATCCCTTTGGCCTTGTTTGAATAGATCACGTACATATAAAAGAAGTGTGTATGCCCTTAGAATCACGCTGTGATGCCCAGAACTGGCTGAACGCTGCAGCATGCTCAGGGTTGTATCTTGAATGGACACTGCTTGGATCTGGGGGACCCTCACTCCAACACCTGTGCCACGCACATCTGCCAACCTGAGGCTTTGCTGGAGGGTTCTCACTGACTTACTAACGTCGTGTTAACAGCAGGATGAATATTAGCAATAGCCACTCACTAGTAAAGGTGGGTGTATGGCACGGCTAAGACTTTAAGGGCACCGTCCACACTTGGATGGACAGGTAAGATGCTCAAGACACAAGGTCTGGCCAAGGTCTTCTGGGACCTGCCACCCTGAATGGGTTACGCTCTGGCCAGGCCTTAGATGTGTTCTTGAGAAAGGCACTTAATTCCTCCATCACCATTGTAGAGGCCCCTGGCCCAGGAAGACCTCAGGCCACCAATGCTGACCACCACAGGGGCTCTCGATGGGTTCTCCATGTGACACCAACTCCACTCCTGTGACACCTTTGCAGAGCTGATAGAGCCAGCTGCTGAACGCTGGGGACGTGCGCTGTCTGGGATGGGCATCCACTCCATGGGAGCAGGGGCTCACCGAGCAGTGAGCCCTCTGCACTGGAGAGGCGATGTCCCTCGTAGAGGCGCGGCTGGGCCTAGCGGGAGAGGACGGGGTGCTGGGAAGAGGTCTGGAGCCCACTTCCCCAGTGTTTTCCTCCTGCTCTCTGCCCCGAGTAAACTGCTGAGGCTGGGGAGGGTGGAGAATTGTCAAGCATCTCAAGTCTTATCAAAGCTTATCCATACAATTATTGGAGCTGGAAAACTGGAAAGCTGGAAAGCTGAAAAACTGGAAAGCTGGAAATACATATAGGATAGGATAGGATATTTTTTGTTATTACTTAGAGATCAAACATTCAGAATTTTAGAAATGCAAGGGACCCTCAGGGTCACGGGTCCTCAAACTTTGCTGTTAAGTCACAGGTGATATCCTTCTAAGAATCCCATGGAAGCCAATGTATAGAATCAAAGCAGGGGTGTGGTGGTGCACATCTGTGAGCCCAGCACTCAGGAGGCTGAGACAGGAGGACTGCTGCAAGTTCAAGGCCAGCCTGGGCTACATAGTGAGTTCAAGCCCAGCCTGAACTACATAGCAAAATCCTGTCTCAGAATAAAACTAAACCCCTGGGCCATGCCCTGAATGCAAAGGTGACCACTGGAGATCAGTCTGCCCTCTGAAGTGGAGGCTCCAGAGCTCAGACCCATCCTACCAGTTA